TGTTTTTCCTGAGGACAAATGCAGTTGGACAGCATTGACTACTCGCTTCTTATCTGGGAAGATGCTTTTTGCAGATGCAGCCCTGGCATGTGAGGATGCTCAGCCAATGACTTGACATCCTTATAAGCAGAGGGAGGTTTGGACACAGCCACATCCTGAGGGAAGACTTTGTAATGACAGTAGAGATTAATGTGACACTGCCATGTATTGGGGGATCCCACAGACTTTTAGGAGACCCCTTGGAGCTAAAAGATGCTGTAAGGATCCTCTCAATGAAACCTCAGGGAGCAGGCCCTGTAACGGCGGACCCCAGTCCTGAACTTCAGAAGCCTCTGAATAGAGAGACCTTTTCTGCTGACTTGAGACCCCATTGCTGTGGTCATCTGTTCCCACAGTGTAGGACACAAAGAGAAAAGATGAGTGCCCCGCACAGTGTGAGAAGGGTCAAGCCCAGCCCTATCAGACTCTTTGTAGAGCAGGTGGCATCTTAGTCACCCTCTGCCCTGAGGCAGAGTTTGCCCAGCTCACAGGTCTGAGCAGTGCAGTGGAGTCAGAACGGAGCCAAGGATGCTCAGGCCCTGGAAGCCTGCTGGTGCGGACGGTAGTCTGTCTGCAGGCAGTAGCTGGGTGATACACATAATATCCTGCCTGGCTTCTCCTCAGCTGGCACACTCTGCTCAGAACTCTGTCTCCTCTGCAAGCAGCAGCTTCATCAGATGGAGCTGTCTGTCTGTCTCTAGTGCGTCCTTCCTCCTTAGCGCTGCAGGGCTGGACATCCACTGGTGACAGGGGTCCCCGCACACTAACCTGGGGCTGCAGCCAGCTTCACCCACAGGCTAGTGTCAGCCATCAGCTCCTGCTCAGCACATCCCCCTTCTGCCTGCTCACTGGCACACCTGGCGCATTCCAGATTTTGTTGTTAAATCATTTTAAACACACATAGAGAGAGAGACCCAAACAGAAAGCCTTGAATGCTCATTACCACAAATCTTCATCAGCTATTGCACAAGGCTTTGCGTTCAGCCTCGCCCCGCTGTTTGCCTCTGCTGCCTCCCCCTCCCCCGCAGAACCCATCCCCTTGTTCCTGAAGAAAGCCCAAACCACCTTTATTTTCACTTTGTTGGCTGCCAGGTATAAAATGGCTGAATGCTGGACATCATTCGTCTCTTAGCTTCCCTGTCAGCTGGGAGCAAGGCCGGAGGGCTGATGTGTGCACGCATGCCCATGAGCGTCCATCCATGTACACCCATGTCTATGTCTGATACCTACCTATAGGAACAGTCTCTTCTGCCCCTCAAGATTTGCACTGGGATTTTTGCTTCTTAAGTGATTGTGTGGGTGACCAATCTCATTCATTCATTCATTCAGCTGATGTTTATTGAGCACCTAGAAGTCTTACCCATTAAAATCAGCCCTGAAGTAGTGTTTGTCTGTCTGTTTCTCTGTCTATCTATCTATCTATCTATCTATCTATCTATCTATCTTCTATCTATCATCTATCTATCTATCTATCTATCTATCCATCTATCTTCTATCTATCTATCTATCTATCATCTATCTATCTTCTATCTATCATCTATCTATCTATCTATCTATCTATCTATCATCTATCTATCTATCTATCTTCTATCTATCTATCATCTATCTATCATCTATCTATCATCTATCTATCATCTATCTTCTATCTATCATCTATCTATCTATCTATCTATCTATCCATCTATCTTCTATCTATCTATCTATCTATCTATCTATCTATCTATCTATCATCTATCTATCTTCTATCTATCATCTATCTATCTATCTATCTATCTATCTATCTATCATCTATCTATCTATCTTCTATCTATCTATCATCTATCTATCATCTATCTATCATCTATCTATCATCTATCTTCTATCTATCATCTATCTATCTATCTATCTATCTATCTATCATCTATCTATCTATCTATCTATCTATCTATCTATCATCTATCTATCTATCTATCTATCTATCTATCTATCTATCTGAGTTCCAGTTCCAGAATGCAGAGGATGAGGCCTGGGAGAGAGACAGAGAGAGGGAGGAAAGAAGAGATGGAGGCAGAAGCAGCTAGGGTAGCGGGTGTTTGGAGCCATCCAGAAAAGCTTAGATGGAATTGTCATCTGGAGCCTTGAAGGATAAAGCTGAGTCTGGAACTGTGGGAGAGCATTTTCTGGGTGGGGAGGGAGGCTGCAGCTGCAGGGAGTGAGAGGAGCAGAGGTGGGAAGGTGAAGGAAGCAATCCTGCAGCCCTTGGTTAGCACTTGCTGCCCCTACACAACATGTGGACACATGGGGATAGCACACAGCAGACAGGGCTCCTCCGAGCTCCCAGTCAGGAAGCCAGAGATCTGCATGGTCTGGGCCAGCAGGTTCTTTAGGGATAGGACCCTCTCTGTCCTCCCCTGGGGAGAACAATGAGCAGGTCTCTGGGTTCCTTCTGCCAGGGCACCAGCCCATGGCCTCTAAATGCCACGTTCAGGACACCACAGTATCCCAGACCACCGATTATGAAAATATATAATAACCACAGGGTTCAGAGCTCAGAAAATAAAAAGAGCATCTGTGACCGATAAAGATGGTCCCAAGAGAAAAATGAACAAAGACTTGCTTTCACAGAATGGGACGCTATATGGCCAGTGAGCAAATAAAAAGCTTTCCAGCTAAAAAAATAAAAATTCGAAGAGGCAATGACATCCCCCTCTCCGGGGTGGTGCATGCCTTTAATCCCAGCAGTTGCGAGGTAGAAGCCAGCCTGGTCTACAGAGTGAGCTTCAGGGCAGCCAGGGCAACACAGAGAAACACTGTCTCAAAAACAAACAAACAAACAAACAAACAAAACAAAACAAAACAAAAGGCTCTGACCTCATGGGCTAGCCACAAAATGCAATTAAGGGGTAAGGGTCGTTCTCCTTCATAAGGCATGATGGGAAGCCAGAGCACATGACCAAAGACTGCGGGAAGGGTAGCCAGAGCGCTGCACCCAACAAACTGGATATTAATTTCTCTGAGCGGTGGCGGGCGAGTCAGAGAGCTCCGTTGTTATCTAAGGGCCTGGTGCTGCTGGGAGAGCAGTCAGCACTGTTTGTTAGCCTGTGCCTGAGAGGGTGTGTGCTGAGAAGGAAATCGCTCAGGCACCGCAGGCAGGTTAGAAGTCATTAGAAGTGTCCTCCCCCCCCCCCCCCCCCCCCCCCCCCCCGTGACCCCAACTAAGTCTCCAGTCTCTGCTCCTCAGGCTAGGCGAGTGGCTTTGAGGTCTCAGGGATCTCCTAAGTCCCAATGTCCCTCCAAGTACAGGTGGTCCTGTGCCCAGGCTGATGCCCGGGTCCACCAGCCTTTTGAATTATCCCCACCACAGCAGAGTCTTGGCCAGTCTACTTCCCAGCTGGCCACTTACTCAGATGTGGGTCCCTTCCCCTACTCCATTCTTTCCCAGCAGCTGACACCAGGGATCACTGATGCTGATCAGAAAAGAGGGCTCAGGAGTCTCCTAGTGCAGGAATCCCAGGGCTCAGAATGCAGGATCCCAGTGGGTTGTAAAGGGGGTGGGGGAGCCCTTGATGTTGAGATGGGAAGGTCAGAGGGAAATCATCATTGGAGGGTCTTTTTCCAGCCAGAGTGGCAGGTGACTTGTAGGGTGACAGAGGGCAGAGGCACAACACCAGGGCGCCTCTGAGGTTTGGCTGTATTCTGACAGGAGGTTAAGGTGACAAAACCTGAAAGAGGTATAGAAGTAAACACAGGGTTGAGGGGGTCAAAATGGGACAGAAACAGCTGGTGTGGTGGTGAGAGAGGCTGGGGTGAGGGGCTGATGTGGGAGTCCCCTCTGTATGCTGTGAATACCACTGGTTAATAAAGAAACTGTCTTGGGCCTGTGAGAGGGTGGAGTAGAGATGGAGGGGAGAACTAAACTGAATGCTGGAAGAAAGGAGGTGGAGTCGGAGAAGCCATGTAGCCCTGCTGGAGACAGACGAGGGAACTTTACTAGGTAAGCCAGGGCCTCGTGGCCATACACAGATTAATGGAGATGGGTTAAATTAAGATGTAAAAGTTAGCCAATAAGAAGCTAGAGCTAATGGGCTAAGCAGTGATTTAATTAATACAGTTTCTATGTTATTATTTAGGGAGTCTGGGTGGCCGGGAAACGAACAAGTGGCCTCCTACTACAGGGGGCTGTAAATTCAAAGGTCAGCCTGGGCTACATAGAAAGTTTGAGGGGAGGAACACACACACACACACACACACACACACACACACACACACACAGAGAGAGAGAGAGAGAGAGAGAGAGAGAGAGAGAGAGAGAGAGAGAGACTGCCCCAAATGAATTATTCAAAGATGAGGAGCAATATTCAAGAATTCACACAGAGGAGTTGCTGCTCCGACGAAAGCTAACCCAGGATGGAACGCAACAGTGGATTACCTCCTCACAGAGTGGTTCTCCAAGGGGTCCTCTGTCCCTCCAGGGGAGCAGCCCCAGGGAGATGGTCAGCAGCATCTCTGTGTTTCTTGTAAATTGAGAATCTTGGAGGCTAGCCTGGTTTTCAGAGAGAGTTCCATGACAGCCAGGACTATACAAAAAGAAACCCTGTCTCAGAAAATCAAATCAAAACAAAAAAGAATTAAAACACTGCTAGTAAATCGAGAATTCAGAGTCTAGGTGCACAAGAGGGTACATAGGGTGGCGTGGGGCCGTTACCATGACACCTGGGATACACACATCGCCTGTCCTCCAAAATGAAGGACACAGAGTTCCTTAAACACACTGATGATTTGAATGGAAAATCCCAGTTCCCTGTCCCAGTGGTCAGGAGGGCATCTGCCTACCACATCACCACTTTTGCCTGGTCCCCAGCCTGCCTCACTCACCAGCTCTGTACACATCACTGATGACTTCCCTCTGCCATGCGCATGTCCCCAGGTGTTTCCCCACCCCGCTCTGTTCATAAACACAGGACACATGCACGCCCCTGCACTCGGGCACCATTCTCATGTTTAATGTGGAATTTACATGGACCCTTGGGTCACATTACTGCTCAACCATTTGAAGATACATCCCAGGGAAAACCAGAGTCCTTGGAAGCCCGAGTGCAAAACCCAAAGAAAAAGTACAGACCCATTTCTGTATAAGAATATATTATTTAAAAGACAGTTTAAAAATAAAAATTCTGTACAGCATCATGAATTCCTTTTTTTATATCAGTGAACAAAACGGATCTTAGAAAACATGGTCTGTCGCAGGTCATCCGGGGTCGCCTGGGTG